CCCCAATCCCATCAACTTGTAAATCAACCCAGCAAGGACTTTTGGGGATAAAAGGGGTCCCCAAGCCCGCCCACTCTGAGTTGTCTGAGTCATCTGAGTCACCTTTGGATCCAGACTTGGTGGCTTCCGTCCCTCTAGCTAGTGCCTGGCAGCCTAGTTGGGAAGGACGTGGGTAAGTGTGGATGAACGCGTGTGTGCGTGGATGAGAAAGAGCAAATGTACCTTGCAACCAGTAAAGTTTTGCTGTTACTTTAAATTTATGGGGTCTCCGTGTATTACAAAAAACCTCTTGTGCCTCAGTGTTCGATTGGAAGTGATTTGTGTGTATCCCTAATTATTTCCTGGCTGTTGACCAGGGCTGTGTGTCCGTCTGCTCCAGCCACACCTATCTGGAAAACCCAGGTAGAAAGCAAGAGGGCTGACAAGATCCGCGTGCCTCAACAGGCTGTGAGTGTGTGAGTGAGTGACCATAAGTTGAACCAGCAGCGTGTGTAACAGCTCCAAAATCCAACCCCGGAATAGCAGAAATGAGTTTTCTGTATCTTTTTGCAGCCCTCTAGCCCTCTGGATTTTTGCTCAAATATTATGTGCCTGACACCTGGGAAACAAAGCCCTCCCTCCTGAACTTAATGCTTTTTTGTGTGTGTTTGTTTGGGGGGTTACATCCTTGTTTTGCAAACATAAATGTCACCAAATCCGAACTGTTTTGCCTGCTGCGGGTACTATACATGAATTGCATTGGGGAACAGTTCATCTGGATGCTGATGGCTTGGGAAGGGATGTAGTTTAAAGGTTGAGCCTACCCTTTACATGGGGAAAGTTTCAGTTCTCTCCAGGTAGGGCTGAGAAAGATTCCACCTTGAATCCTTCAGAGCTGCCGCCAACTGGCGTTTATTGGACTAAGCGGACGAGCCTCTTCAGAGTCCTGGTTTAAAGGAAGGCACCTCCATTTGCCAGCAGGAGGCGCTGCTGCCAACCCCCGTCACCATCTCTCCCCGCCTTCGGCTCAGCCTGGCGAGGAAATGACCTAAGAGGAAGCCTCCGGCTTCGCAAGCAAGGGGGGAAATGCGCACCCCCCCACCCCGCGCAGCAACCGAGTTTCAGGAGTCGCCGTCGGACCTCCAAGTGAGTGAAAAACGAGCGCTGCCCGCTTGCCTGCCGGAGGGGCGCCCGAAGGCTGCTCGGGCCAGCTGGGCGCTTCTGCCGGTGGCGGGGCCGCCGGGGCGAACACCCGAAGGATGCCCATCCTGCACTTGCACTCCATGCTTGAGCTGCTGCCTTTCTTGCTGCTGCTGCTGCTATTTTTGGTTGTGGGCTTTTTCCTGATTTACCTCCAGCGACCCGAGCCAGACCCCAAAAAGCATTAGGGGGCCAGGGGGCGTCTTCCCGCCTCAGGATGCCGGCGCGCCCCTGCTGACAGCGGAGGCGTCAAAGGCGAGCAGGTGGGTGCCTTTGAACTTCTCCTTCTCGCTGTCTCGGGCCTGCCTTAGAAACTCGGGGTGCGGGTCTCTGGCGCGGCGGGGCGTTTCTTCCCCCCTTGGTAACTTGGCTTACGCTTTTGAAAAGCTGGGTTTTAAAGTGGACCCGTCCACCCCACCCCCCCACTCTCTTCCGTGATTGCTCTGCTGGACGTGGCAGCCAATTTTCTATGGGTAGGTTTAAAAAAGAAATGAAGGGTCCCACCGGTTTTGCTCCATCCCCGGGGACTTGGTGAACACATCCGTGTCATATTCTGGGCAACAGCACTGAAGTAGTTTGCCGTTCGTGTCTTCCTTTTTCCCAAATATTGTTTTCAACTTTATTATTTGTTTAGTCAGTTTAGAGGCCCATCTCAAATACACGACTCTGGGTGGCTTACAATATTAAAATAAGTAAAAATATATACATACGGTCTACAAAAAATTAAAACACACAGCAGCTGGGAAAAATCATAAAAAGACATCCATTAACACAGCCAGGAGACAGGCTCTGTCGCACATCTGGGGCCCCAGGCTCCTCCGGCACAGAATTAGGCCTTCAAGGCTTTATGAAAGGCCAGCAGGGTTGGGCCAGTCTGATCTCTGGAGGGATGATGTTCCAGAGGGCAGGCACCACACAGCTGTAGCTCTGGGTGGCATTGTGTTCCCCCAGAAAGAGCTGGCCCATAATGTGGGAGCCCTGGACTCATAGCTGCTCTGGGACAGCAGGTGGGAACTGTGGCCCTGAGAGGTTTTGGCCTTTCCTGGAATAGGAGGCATTGGCAGCTAACACAGTCTCACCGTGGACTCCTGTATTTGCTCTGTATGGGACTAGCCTTGAAGACCACCTAGAAACTGCAGCTGGGGCTGCCTGCGTGTTAATGGGAACAAGCCAGTGTAATACAACACAACACAACACAACACCAGCACTGCGGGAGCTGCATTGGTTGCTAATGGTTTCCCAGTGCAGTTCAAAGTGCTGGTTACAGCCTCTAGACTGCTTACCCCAGGCAGAATCTGCTGACCTAACGCATGCTGGCAGGGGGGCTGATTCCTCCCCTCATGAGGTACAGCTAGAGAGGACTTGGAGGCAAGCTTTCTCTGGTGGAGCTATGTCCCTGTGGTACAACTTACCTTCAGAAATATGATCTGTGCCCTCATGTTTGATGTTTAGAAGGCTAGTCAAGACCTGGCTTTTTCAAGGAGTATTTGGGACTAGATCATTGTACCTGGGATGAGTAATGGGTATTGGTTATGGATCACTGTATGGTTTTTTTAGATGTATTATGCTTTGTTGATGGCCCTGTTGGATGTGAATGCTTTTGTAAGTCACTTGGATTCAGCCAACTGAAGCAGCATAGAGGTAATTGTAGTAATAAACAAACAAAGTCAGGTAAACATTTTAGGCAGCTATGATTTGTGGGATCACACAGTTGGGCAGTGACCCAGCTCACTTGTTTATGCATCTGATCCTCTGAAAAGAATGAAGAACCTGGTGGAATTGGGTGCCCACCCAGGGATGTCAAGGTCAGCACTTTGGACCAAGTATAATCTAACTGATGAGTGCTTGCAGGAGGAATTGCCTGCAAATGTTCTGAAAAAAATCTTAAGAATTTTTCCATGGTGGCACCAATCATAAGTCCAGAAAGCAACTTTCTGATCAGCTGTCATCTTGACCAAGGCTAGCTGCCCTCAAGACCTTTGATGAGATTCTGTATACACACATTAAGGTGCCTTATACTGAGGACAACCAGGGTTCCATTTAGCCCAATATTGTTTCTGCTGACATTGCCTCTAACACTCTTCGCTCATTGCGAGTCAAGATCCCTTTAAGCTATAAATGCTAGGGGCTGTTCTTTGGATTTGCTTGTATGCAAAGCCAATGCTATGCCACTAACATGAACAGATCAGCCCCTACAAATTTGGATTGAAGTTAGCAGGCTTCCACATTTTAACCAAGAAAAAAAACCCAGTTTCTGTGCATATCAGAACAATCACAGGGTGACCTTTGACCACAGTGACTGCTGACTGCTATGCAGAGGAGTAATTGGGCCTGAAAATTGCATAAATAGAGGTCATTTGCTCTGCACAGGAGAAAGGTTGGTGTGACTACTCTGGTATGTGCAGAAACTGGCTTATCAGTTGGGAATTCTCCATGCATTAACAATACTCGCTGTTCTCTCCCATTAATAACACTGCTGTTTAGTGACAGTAGTTGTAACACCCTTACTAAGTTCTTGGCAATGCTTATTGTATTATTGGACGTGAAGGCTGCTCTCCCTCTGGCCAGCTCCCTCATTTTGCACTGGTAAGCTTTTTATTCTATCTTTTATTTGATTGATACCCTGCCTTTTTGTTCAGGCAGTACACCAACAGCTGACTTTCACAATAGGCTCTGCACACCTAAACTCTGTTTTTCCATACAGAGGCAACAGTAGAGCAACAAACTCATGTGAAAGAGACTGATTGTCTTCCACAAAGTAAAAAAATTGTGGCATGATTTCTGCAGTTCATGACACCAAAGGGCTACAGCTGCATGAGTTAGTCACTCTAAACTTTGTCTTTATATTCTAGTGAGGTTTATCGTGTGACAATACGGATGCCAACCCTCCAAAACCCTTTGCTTTAAAAGCAAGAAACAGATCCCTTTATCATGAGGTTAATATTGCAATGTACATTTCAGTGTGATTCATTTGATGCTGGAATAATGTACTTTGAACCAGAGTGAACAGCTTTCAGCATTGTTAACTTGTGGACCAGCTGTAGCATCACCTCAACAAGAGAGCCTAGATTCAGGGATTGTGCTATGGTGACCTCTGGGTTAAATTTTTATAATGTATTGGAGCTACCTTTAAACACAGATCAGAACGTCTAGTGACTTCAAGATACAATGGCTTAGGTTGTTAATTCAGACTATTTTGAAAATGTATTAAGACTATTGCAGTAAAATAGTGGTGTAGTGGTATCTTGAAGACCAATAGTTTTATGATGGCATATTTTGGTGGTTTACAGTCCACTGTGTTTTGGTGCTTCGTTAAAATTGTGCAAGCTCCCAATCCATTCAGTAGCTCAATTCAGGGTGCTGGTTTGAAGATCTCCATGGTTTGAAGGACTGCCTGTTTCCATACGCGCTTGCCTATATATTGACACGTGGCTCTTCTTGGACTCTCAGAAATAGAGATCTCCCTAAGAATGATTAGATGCCTATTTGCTTATTGAGCCTGTTGCTCAAGAAAGATTTTATTTTCTCAGGCCTTTGGATTTTTTAACTTAATCTGCTTTATCTCTGCTAAGGAATTCTTATTCTGCTTTTCGTTCTGCTTTTCATCTCTTGTATCAAGTGATGATTTTTTGATGATATTGTGGTACTTTTTATTCTCTTTTGGAAGCCATTTGGCAAATGGTTTGAATTGTTTATCAATAATTCAATATAATTATTTATGATTAATAATAGCTGCTATGAAGTATAAAAACTAGATAATATTAATAACAGTGCTTTTTAAAATAATTGCTGTGTTTTGGTGATATTATAATGATATTCAAAAGCAGGCCTTTGAATCCTGCCTCTAACTGTTCCTTTCTGGGATTGGGTTCACACATGCCATTAGACCATAATTTGTTTAATTCATAGTTTAATGAATAAGCTCCATTTTCCTAGGTTCATGGAACATACTAAGCCAGAACTAAACCACCCACATTATGGCTTAGTGTGGTGTGTGTCTGCTTGTGCTAAAAGAGGCTCCCTGTTCTTTCTGAACTCAGTGATGGCAATCCTCTTTGCAAGATTTGCTTACTGCATTACTGTAAGTCAAAAGTAGTCAAGTAGGGCATCTCAGACTGTGAGCTGTGAACCCCTGGGTAATTCTGGGCGAGGTTGCCAGTCTTTTTAGGCTTGCACAGGAAAGTGCTTCTCCAGGCAGAGTAGAAGTGTGATCTGACAGGTCTCCAGCTTTGCTCATACCACCCTATCTCCAGCAGATGGCAGGGGCTCACTTATCCTCAGTGCGCTTGGGGGCTTGGTGTACAAGGGGGTGGTCAGGGTTGTGAGTGTGAAGAAGGGCAGATACTGGCTCTCCTGTCTTCTCCTGGTCTCTCCCATCTCTTGGCTCAACTGGAAAAAGCCATGGGGCGGGACAAGGCAAGGAATCCTGCAGTTGTTCCACTTTTGTCTCCACTAGAAAGAGGCTTAGATGTTCAATCAGTGGTGGTAGTGGTGGAAATAAGTATGATATCTTCCTTGGAAACTGAAATTTCCTTTTGAAAGGTGGTCTATCTGCTATAGATTGCCTGTCAACCTTTTGATGGTGCTGAGCCCAGCATCCCTCACTCTTGGTCAGACTGGATACAGCTGCTGATAGCTGCAGTTCTGCAACATCTGAAGGGCCACACAAATTCATTTATTCTTTAGGGAGTCATGATACCAGAAAGATTGAGAATTCCTGATATCGTATCCTAACTCATAAATGTTAAATGGGGAAGGCAATGGTTAGGTAGCAAAGGAAATATAAGTAAGGTGGCTTCATTAAGTTCAGCATCAAGGAGAAGAATTCAGGAGAAGGGAGCATATTCAGGAATGGCACTTTACAAAGAATTGTAACATTTGGGAAACAAAGATGAAATTGAACAAGGAAAATGAAAAAGAGATAACTAGGGGCTGAAAGGTGTAGGGCCAAGAACTCAAAGACTCAAGACCTCTCAAATGCCAGGAGTTAACTGGGAAGTCAGTAGAATATTAATACAGTTGCTCTTCTCCTTTGAACACACCCTCCCACCTCTACTCTTTGAGTAGATTCCAAATCTCCAAAATGTTTTCCATGGATTCCTGTCGTGTCAACTCACTTTTGCCTGACTGAGTGAAAACTGAGGAATTTTGATGAGTGAGCAATGTGCTTGGCCCAGGATTCAGAAGCTATGCATTTGGCTTAGTGGAGTGGGGGAGCCAGTGATACTGGGTTATTATGCACAATAAAGCCTCTCACTTTCAAATAATGGAGGGAGGAGAGATAGCCTTGTGGGAGCAGCAGTCATTCAAAAAGGGAAGCAGGAGTGCTGCTGCCCGTGTTGGAAGAGAATTTTCTCTGGGTTTGTTTTTTCTTCATTTGTTATCAGAGGGTTTGATTTCCTTTTATCAGCTCCAGTAGTACTGTTTTTCTGTTTGGATGGGCCATAGAGCCTCAGGTAAGCAAGAACCAGTGCGCCTTCTTTCCCTGTTCCAAAGAAAACAGTATATGATCTCTCCTCTCTCCACAGCTCCTGCTAACTCAGCAGCTTCCCTGACCTAATAGCTCTTGACGGAGGGAAAGGGATGGAGGAGACCAGCAAAGAGGACTATAAAATATATTCATTTGATACAGAGATCCAGCAGTTACTGAAAACCGCACTCAAAGGTTAGCAACTCTCTCTCTCTCTCAACCCGCTTCTCCTTTCCACCTCTTCCCAGGGCCTGAACCACAGCCTTTCGAGTTTATAGACAAATGAAGGGGCTGCCTGCTGCCATAGAAATCTCCTGATTCCTTAAGCTCTGCTCCAGAGGCCCTTTCTTCAGGAGCTAAAGGGGGCCCACCCATCCATAAGACTTTTTCTACAGTTGCGGCCCAGTTGTTGAATGTTTTAATCCAAGATATGCACCTGGCATTTATTTTATTGAGCCAGTGACCGTTGAGTAGTTCAGCATACTTGAAGGGCATGAGAGTAGGAAAAACTGGCATATCCCAGTTGCTATTTTTGCCCGCCAAACTTTTTGGTACATGCCCCCAAGTTTCCTTGGGATGGTGTTTGATGTGTCACTGCTGATGTAATTTCTATCAATTGGATTTACCTTTCTTTCAAACTAGAATTGAGTGTTACCTCTTCTTCTGTAGATCCCAGCAGCGTGGATCTGGAGAAAGTGGCCAATATAATTGTGGACCAGTCCTTAAAAGACTGTGTGTTCAGCAAAGAGGCCGGGCGTATCTGTTACGCCATTATTCAGGTGAGAGGCTGAACAGTCCATCTTCCGAGAATTGGTAAGAAGTTCAGCACCATTTACCACATCCAACTGTACTCTGGATTCTGTTTGTTCATACCGAGCATTTATTTTCATGCCTGTTAACCACCAGGGATGATGTTCCCATTTTTAGTTTGAGATATATTTGTATAATGTAATAAAATATAGTATAATGTAATACCAATACAATAACACTATATTACCCACATATTGCACATAATATACTATAGCATAATATACTATAATGTACTAATATAACACCACATGGTGTAATTAGTATAATTTAACATAAAGGAGCCTGTAGGTTGCATTAAAGCAGGGATCTGGGCATGCATATCATTCAGCAGCCATGATTCCTTTCCACAGATGGAGCTTGGCTTGGCTTGACCTGCAGAACATGTTTGGCATCCAGCCCAGATGAGAGGATAGAAGCTGAATCTATCCCTTCAGCTACAGCCCAGACTTGGTGAGCAAAACTCACTAAATGACCCCTTTAAGTTTTGCCTCCCTCTACACTTTGTGCCCCTAGAGGCTCCTGCTCCTTTATGCACTTTTTGTCTTCCTATGGATGGGGTTTGAACTGTGCAGGTGAGAGAGAGAGGGAGAGAGAGAGGTAAAGCAGAGACCTCTTTTCCAAGCCCAGTGGCACCAAAACAGCAAAATGTGGGCAGATTTCTATCGTATGCAAGTATATGGGGAAGGGTTGTATCACAACATTGCGGCATGTCTCTTGTCACTTGCTTCTCCTGGCTGCCCTGCAGATGCCCATGAGATAAAGTCCTGTGCTACCACCAATGTTCCCTCAGACCGGGAAGCAGATGCACAAGTCATGAAGTCTACTGAGTAGCAGTTGGTTGGCCAGGAGCCAGTTTATAGAAAATACTGCCTGGAGTAACTTTATCCTGGTTCCTTCTTTCCAATCCCATAATTTTGGGAGTTACAGGCAAAGGAAAATTACTGGGTTCTTCCTCTAGGCCTGGGCCTGTTGAACTGGGAGTTAGTCCCATGCAAATCAAAGAGAAAAACTTCAGAGGCCCCAGCTGCACACAAGTCAGGTGTTTTTGGATTCCAGTTCCAATAGGGATGGAGATGCATGTCGCTGTCCTTTGACAGCTGGAGATCACTGGTTCCCTTCAGCATCCTTTTCCTCACTGACTTACTCCTTCCCTGCTCTCCGTTTGTATTTACTGACTTTCTGGGTCAGCTTTGTCAGGAGAACGAGTCTTGTGTGCTGGTGTGCAACGGCTGTTGCAAGGCTGCGCATGTGAGCGTTGTAGAGGGAACATGGGCTGCCACATCTTTTAGCTGCAAATAGCTTTTCCCTGGGCTTCATGGCTTGATGTTTGTTACAGGTGGAAAGCAAACAAACAGGCCAGAGTATCTTCCGGCGGGGCCTTCTCAACCGACTGCAGCAGGAATATAAGGACCGTGATGAATTGCGAGCCCATTCCCTCCAAGCCTGGATCTGCTATGTCACCTTTATCTGTAACATCTTTGACTATCTGAGGGTAAGGGGATCCTGGTAAGAACGGGCCATCCAAATGCCTTGGATCAACATTCAGAGTTGGCATGGGATTGGTTCATGTCTCTTTTCTCCGGAAAGTTACTTTGAGTAACTTGAGTATGTTCCCAGGTGGTTTAACAGAAAGAGCAATCCTGTGTATGACTACCTAGAAATCCTGATCTTATCTCCAGAAAAATATGTTTACCAAGAATTCCCAGCCCCTCTGTGCCTTTGGCATTTTGTTAGTCTGTCACTGGTGCTTTTGCAAAATGGCTGCCTTTTAGAGGGCTTGCCTTTCACAAAATGACTCCAGTTATGCTGAGGGACTCCAGTTGCAGAACATAATTTTTCAGAAGGGAAGATTATAAGAAAGCTGTTTCACCAAGAACCTAAGGGCAAGAGGGAGGCAAGTTCCCAACAAATCAAACCTGTTAACTTTGAACTTGAAAGACAAAAATCAACAATGAATAATACAATTCAGTCTGAAAGGCAAAATCGGGCAAAATCACCTGAATGTGCATAAACAAATACATGCATAGAGACTAGGCCCAAGAACAATTGGCTAACATGCAGCTGTATCACAAATTAACAAAACAGAATCAGGCAAAAAATAGGCCAAACGTTTCCCATTCAGGTTCCCAGCAGGCTTTTCACCATTGCTTTCGCCACCCCCTGTCTAAGAGGTTAACTTTTTTTGTTTTTCTGGGCAGCTGAGCACACTTCAAAATAAAGCAATTGGTTACAGCAACCCACCATTTTTATTTTCTTGAAATAGGCCCAGAAACATTTTGGGAAATACAAATGGTATTAGAGCCAGTACTTTGCAGCTGGCCAGTTTAACAGCAACAACGGCAATATTAGCAATTCTTAAAGCAAGCACAAGACAGAGGGACTGAAAGAGATACTGGGCATTGAGGCATCCAAGGAGTGCAGCTTGAAATAAAAATACAAGCAATAAAGCAAAAAGGGGTGATAAATAAGGATAGAATAGTCATGAAGACTAAAATTGCACCAATAAATCTTGAAAAGACAAGCAAGCAATCTTTGCTTTGCAATATTAAATAAATGATAGGCACAAAATGAACCTCTGTATGGCAAGTGTTCTTCAAATGGGCTGCTGCACTTAAGAAGCCCACTCACCCCACTTGAGATGGCCTGAGTGATCACAGGAGACTCCACTGAAGATTTGAGCACTGTTCCCCAGCCTAACACCACTAATGTGTGGCTAGAAATCACATCATCCAACAGTTGTGCTTGCTGGGAACAGCTTCACACATCTGGAGTGCACTAAATTCTGGAGGTTACTCTGAGGTCTAACATCTAGGTCAGTGAAAAATACCACAAGCTTTTTGCTGCTCTGCTTTCAGCTGACTCAACACAGTTGCTTAATTTTTTTTATCCCAAGCAGTGGTAGGAAGTTGGAGGTTGGGGTTAAACATTGCAAAATGCTTATGAATCCCAGTTGACAAGTCTGCAACCGATTAACAGGTTAACAACATGCCCATGATGGCCTTGGTGAATCCTGTTTATGACTGCCTCTTCCGACTGGCACAGCCTGATAGTCTGCAGAAAGAGGAAGAGGTGAGTTCTCTTGGAACAAAGTGTGGATAACATGGACTCTGTTAAATCACAGCTCTGATGAATAATTGAAACTAAAAGAAAGGGCAAAGGTGTGATAGATTTGAATGAAGGCAGTCTTATCTTGTGGAGAGGAGTTGGTTAATACATGCAGGGGTGTAAGTTTAGCTATGAATGAAGGGGCTATAGTGTATGTCAGAAAGTATGAATTGGTGTCATTTAGCTTGTTGTGGGTGCATACGAAAGTAGGAATCAATTGGTTGGTGTCAGTTGCGTGTTACATTCCAGTGAATTGTATTATTGAAAAAACCAGACAGGACTTTTGAACAAAATTGTAAAATATTTTGAATGGATGCACTTCAGTAGAATAGATGGATGACATGAATGGATGGGTGGGAACAAACAAGGGAGTACTGAAAAAGTTATTGAACCATTGAGTCCCAAGAATGAATGAGAATGGGGATTGTTTAATATGTTTAGAAATACGTACTTTAAGCATAAGATTATTCCTGTATATACATGGAAAAGGAACAATTCCCATAATCCCTGGCCAGAATGGAGGGCATTAGCTTGAGGACAGTTGATGTAGGTCTTGAACTGCATTTATTTTTGTGGGTGGGTGGAGCTGGAAGAGAAACTTGTGTGGTAACGCTCTCAATTCTTCAAGACGTTGGTTGCTTTCTTGCCTTTAGGTGGACTGCCTGGTGCTGCAGCTGCACCGCATTGGTGAACAGCTCGAAAAGATGAACAGTCAGAGGATGGATGAGCTCTTTTCCCTCCTGCGTGATGGATTCCTTCTGCAGGAGGGTCTCAGCTCCCTGTCCCAGTTGCTGCTGCTGGAGATCATCGAGTTCCGGGCCACTGAATGGAAAATGACAGCAGCAGCCCAGAAGTACTATTACAGCGAGGTCACTGATTAAACACTCGGGCCACCCGCAGAGCCTGCACTTGCACCATGTTCACCAGCAAACATCACGCCAAAGCTGCAGCTTGTTTCAATGCTTTTTATTCCCAGAGACCTTCTGGTATAGAATACAACCCCTGCTCCTTTGGGCCAGGGAGCTGCTGCCTGAAACTGAGGAGCTGGGAGAACAGTTGTATTTGAAAGAGTAGCAGATACTTGGCCACTGCTGCTCCTGTTGTATTGCACTAAATACTGACTTGTATTATGTACTGTTGCAGGCTAGGCTGGCATTTTACACAGGGAGGGTCTCTCTCTTGCATACATTCAGGTTAGCAACCTAAATTGCAGGAGTTTAAAACTAGCCTAGGAATAATTTTACATACGCTTCAAAGAAAGATCAACTCTTTCTGGCCTGTATTGGTAAGGTTTTCTTTCGCTTAACACTTGGTAACTGGCCTCAGTTTGCCCTTTTTTGAAAAGGGAAAATGATTCTGTGATCAAAGCACAAGCATTGTTTGCTTCTTTGTAACCAAGCTTTCTCCAATGGAACCATCAGTCACTCTGAGATCCAAGTGATGTCTAGACAAGACTACTCTGAAATCAAAATCAAAAGATGTTTCTTTTCTCCCCAACTACAGGAAACTAGTCTGACAAAGAGGGGATAGTATTGCATAATTAGGGAGATTTTGATGGACAGCCTTCAATCATATCACTCTTAACCAGCATATAAAACAGCATAGTCCAAGAAGGGCTGCATTGATGGTAATCCTTACCTACTTAGATGCAAGCTCCATTACAATAAAAAAGGCTTAACTTACCAGAAAAAATATTTAGGATGGAAATGGGGACAGTTTTTCTGTCCCTCCCTGCCTTTTTTTTCCCCAGGCAAAGCAGCCCTGGTCCATTACACACGTCATTTAGATTCCTTAAAGGCTACACAGTTCTCCTGGAATGAAGGGGCAAATCTTACAACAATGTAGTGGCTTTGTCATACAGCAGGTTTCTCCAACACAATGCCCTCCAGTTGTGGATTTCAGCGCTATGGAAGTTAAAATCCAAAGCATCTGGAGGGCATCAGATTGTGGAAGTCCATCAGAGTGTAGCATGCCCTAAGAAGCCGCTGCCCAGCAATTCCTGTGAATTCTTGATGCTTCTCAAGGATATTTCCGGATTCTAACTGACCCTTCAACAGCACTTTAAAAAAAAAAAAAAAAGAGGCTATCATTGGTACTTTGATCTTTCTCCCACTACAGGAAAATGCTATGCAAATATTTTTCATTTGCAGCCTTCATCTTTCTTCCAGGCCAGCTCAGGTGTAGCTATTAGCTAAGATGGCATCTTCTGCCTCCAGAAGAAGCAAAGCAACAGACTTTTCCAAAGCCACAGCAGAATTAGCCCCTTTGGGAGTGGGTAACAAATTATTTTATAACTTTTTTCCCCAACAACTACTTTAAACCATAGTACTGTAAATTTCTCTTAAGAGAATTGGTTCTGTTTGGAACTTTTATAAAATAAATATTTTACACTTCTGCCTCTACTCTTTTCTTCATTCTAGACAAAAATTAATCAGGGAAGGTTGTAAATAATCACTCAGCTAGATGCATGGGATGACCTTTCATCAGATATTTCATTTGGGGGGACAGAAACCGTAACTGGTATTCTATATGGGATCAGCAACAAAATGCTGCTACCTGGGGTGCCTGCTATTCAGGATCCTAGCTTCTCAATTTAATTGTTTTTTCTCTCTACACCATCCTGAAGGTTTTTCCAGAACTTCTAAAAGATCCTCTTTTTCATGGATGATTCCATAAAGATTGCTGAAGAATAGTATAATTAGAAACAGATGAATTGACAGCTCATGTAGCTATAGTGGTATGTCAACCTTATGGACTATTTGGAAAGTAGCCAAGAATTTTGCCATGGGAACATTTGATGTAAATGCATCAGCAAATGGAACATCTGTCTCTCAATACACTAGTTTTACAATCTTTATCATCCTCAAAATACCGTACAGCAACTCATCCTCACCCCATTCTGTATGTGAAAAAATTAAAGGACCAGCAAGTATCTAATTAATACATTTTGTATTGTTCTATGGTGCAACTGGGTTAAGTATAGTTCAGTCACATAGGATTATAGCATCAAATTGTCTTCCACAGGTAAATGGGTATCCCCATCCCCAAGTGAGACACATCTATATCTTTGCACATCACATTATAAGAGATTCAGCAGTCACCTCACAAATTAAGCTACCTCTTTACCATCATCAAGGAAATAATAAATAGGCTGGCTGTAAAATTGTGATAGTAACTACTCTTCAACAGAGAGAATAGGGCTGTGTACACATGAAATACCCACAGAAATATGGCAAGTAACAGAAAAAGAATCAAAGGTTCTAAAGCTAGGCCAGCAGATCTGGAAAATGACATAATGTCCAGCAGATTGGGTCAATCTACATTCCAATAGCAAATAAAGGATATATAACGGTGTGCAAACTGTTGTACAATATCCTTAATTTCACAAGCTGGAGAAATAGCACTTAGGAACATCCAACTAGATTAGAACTCTACATGGAAAAATAGATGCCAGATGTTCAAGCTGGCTTTAGAAAAGGCCAAGGAACACAAGACATTATTTCTGATGCACTCTGGATAATTGAGAAAGGCAAAGAATACCAAAAAGAAATCAGTATGTACTTCTATTGATTATAGAAAGGCATTTAATTGTGTTGATTATGTCAAGCTATGGAATGTGCTTAGAAAAGTAGGAATTCCAGAACATCTCATTGTCCCCATAAGAAACCTGTATACAGGTCAGGAAGCCACAAAATGGTCGGAACATGGTGAAACAGACTGGCTCTAGGTTGGCAAAGGAGTGAGGCAAATCTGTATATTCTCCCCTTATTTATTCAACTTATATGATGAATATTAATTGAGGGAAGCTGGTTTGGAAAAAGATGAACATGTTTTTAACACTGGAGGAAGAGACATCAATAACGTCCACTAGCTAATGACACTACTCTAATAGCAAAAATGCAAAGGATCTACAAGCTCTAGTAATAAAGGTCAAGGAGCACAGTAAAAAATGGGACTAAAATTAAATATAAAGAATACCAAGCTAATGACAATAGGTAGAGCAACCAGCCTTAGAATTGACTGTGAAGATAATGAAGATAGCTTCTGCTGTTTAGAATCAACCATCAACAGTAAAGGAACAAGCAGTGAAGAAATACATAGCACTTGATACAGCAGGCATGGACCTTGGAAAGCCATGGTGTGATGTGTCTATACCAACAGATAGTGCAAGCAATGTTATTCCCTGTGAGACTCTATGGAAAATGAAGTTGGATCTTGAAGAAGCAGGACAAAAAGAGCATTGGCTTTTGAATTTTGATGGTAGATGATTCCTGAGAATACCATAGACAGCCTAGAAAGAAATGGATCATTGAACAAATCAATGCACAGTTCTCATTTGAAGCACACATGACCATACTAAAATAATCCTACTTTAGACAAATTATTCAAAGACCTAGCTCTAGAGAAGGTTCTAATGCTGGGAAAGGTGGAAGGAAAGAGAAAAGGTCAGCCAGCAGCAAGGTGGATCCACTTAATTACAATGGCAATGAATGCACTGTTGGAAGACCTGAAGGGCCGGGTTAGGGATAAATCATCATGGGTAAAATTTATGTGGTCACCAAGAGTTGACACTGACTTGATGACACATAATCAATCACATGAAATGCTAGCATGCAGGAAAAAGTTAAGAGAGCAACGTATTTATACTAACAATTATATGTTAGTTATTTTGTAAGAACATGCTAACTGCAACAGTTCTAGAAGGGATTCTGAGGTACATACGGTATCAGCACATATCTGGAGGTCAGAAGATATTTTAACTAAAGTAATTGTTGCTGTATTGTTTCCACAATGGATACTTACAATGCAACTCCTCAGATGATGACAATCTGATCCTATTAAATGATTCACAGTATATACTCCACCCTCTAATTAGATTCTCCAAGAAAAGGATTGCCTTGCTATTTTTAAGCCTGCCTCCCCTTTCCGCAAATTAACATACCACTAAGGCTCAAACCACAATTGTCATATCCTTAGTAGCTAATAGAGAAGATGGGAGGATTCCATACTTTAAAAAATTAATGAAACTTAATACACTCCAATCTTTGAGAAGCACTAAATATGACAATTCCAAGATCGCCCATGAGGGCAAATTTCCACTTGCCATTTATTAATTCAAAAAAAAAAAGATACACCTTATGGTATAAGTTTAAATCTAGAACATTAAAACCTCCCAGTATGGTACAAGCTGAAATTCTTGAGTTGTAGCTGCAATTTTCCTTGTAAGGTGAATGAGAACATACCACTTCAGAAGGCCACCTATTATACTGGCTGACCATAGAACAAAGTTACATCCCACTGAGAGAGATCTGTAGGGTTTTGAATATACAGTGGTACCTCGGTTCACCAACTTAATTCGTTCCGCGACACTGGTCGCGCCCCGGGTTGGGTGCGACCCG